GACATCTGCAAGGCATGGGTGTGATGTAAGGGCTGGTTGGAGCCACATTATAAACCCTTAAGGCACTAAGTAGGGACACCAGAACATCAACATTGGATCAGGGATCTCTAGGGCAGTCTCCCTTTCCAAAGGTCTAAGAGAACAGCAAGGCGTGACAGGTGAGAAGGAGGGGTGGGGCAAGGGGGGGACTAGTACCCATAGCTGAAAAGGTTAAAGAAGAAAACGGTGGATGGTCTAATGACTTGTTAATTAAGCAATTAGCTGCTTGTTCACAGGTGCTCCCTTCCTTATTGTGTGCCAGTGGCTGTAGTGGGCTGGGAAAACCCTTTGCCTACTGCTGCCGCCCACTGTTTCACTTGGACTTTGTTGTCTGGCAGGGCTTGTCACTGCCTCCTTCCGACCCCCACACCTCCAAAGGTCTGGGGACCGGCTCCCAGCAGCAGTTGTATCTGCACTGCTGTGTTATTGGTTAACTGTTTAATCAGTGAAATTAGAGCAGGTCAAACGGATAATTTTTTAAATCATATTTGCATCCCTAATTGCCAGTGCTTCAAAGCAGGGAGCATTAACTAATTTCCCTCTCCTTCACCCTCTACACAGTGCTTAGTATAATGAGCCTTCAATCTTGGTTGGCCTCTAGGCACCAAGGTGACTGTTCTGGTATGGTGTTTGCTTACCTCTATTTTGCCATTTAAAACTTTAAAAAACCCAAACTAAAACCAACATGATTCAATGTTATTGTTGGGTTTTAATGAACTCAGCAGAGTTTTGACATGTAGAATTATTCATCATACTCTCTTTGTGAATTCATGTTGTTTGTTCTTTTTTAAAATCCTTTTTAGATGTTGGATGTTTATGACATTCTTCCTTTCGATAACCCAGATGGTGGGGTTTGGAAACAAGGATTTGATATCACATATAACGAGAATGAATGGGACAGTGAACCTCTTCAAGTTTTTGTTGTACCACACTCGCATAATGATCCAGGTAATGTGCTGCCATGTAGTTTTGAAATCTAAGCATCTAGCAGCTTGAGTTAATATATAATATTGTCAACTTCTTCTAGTGTTTGGATATATATTTTGATTAATTGCATTGCCTACTGTGTTAGGTCTAGAACCAGTAAAACACATATGTAACTGTAAGCTTAACGAACGCTCCCATTGACTTTGAGGGACTACTGACATGCTTAAAGTTGCACTTTTCATTTAATCATATATCTGTACCAGTGCTTGAGTGCTGGCATTTTACATTGGATTGTTTGGAAGTTTTAGATACTCACCATGATTAAATCAAGCACAGCTATATTCATTGCTGCAATTAAATAAGAGTTTTTATATCTGAACATATTATCAAAAAAGCTTTCCACTTTTAGAATTGTGTTGACTTTTAAAAACTGCCACTAAATATTTAATAGGCCACATATTTGGAGGACATTTAAACTGTGGAATCTACATTTAAACTTTTGCCTCTTTATTGCTCATGCTTTCAGTGGATAACCATAGCTTTCCTCTCTACCTTGAGAACTGAGTAAACATTTCTAATGACACTGAAATTGTAATTGCATAGATCAATAAGGTTTTCCATTTTATAACAGTGCAATGAATGCAAAAGGAAATTTTAATGCTTAGTGTACTCCATTTACTTGTATAATTTCAGGATTGAAAAATGGCTGTGCACTTATCTTGATTATACTCTTAGTTGAACTCAGTGTAAACAATGCCGGTTAATTACAGGAGTGGGGTAGGCCAAGCTTTTTCATACCTCATTGAAACTCCATACATTGTTTTTTCCAAGGCTCTTTAGGTCTTTACTAGAAGCCTTGAATTTGACAGAACTTAGTCAGTTCAGGCTTGCTTTAGGGCCAGATTCAGACAGTACAGTTTTACCAGTATGAGTGATTGGAATCTGGTCTATATGCATAACAGAACAGAAGCTTGGCGCACAGATTGGTTTAAAAGTGGTGGACCCCAGTCTAAAATTTGTCTTTCCCACCAAAAGGTGAATGTGTATTCTGTTCACTACTGTTTGCAGAAAACTGCATGACTTCGATTGATTCCGCTTTAGGCTTTTTGAATGTCTGTATCTAGCCTAGAAGCCTTGAAACTGATGGGTTATAGTCAGTTTCGATAATTATGCAGTTTTACAGCATTTACATTATAAAGCAGAGCACTTAAGTGCATAAACCATTTCATGCATAACTGATATATGCAGATAACTGATGTTTGTTATACTGTAAGAAACAGGCAAAAAAATGAGATTAACATAATATTATGCAGTTATGATATATGTATATCAGTTAAAATGTGTGCTGCAGTTAAGATTTCTCTTCAGCAGGTCTGTGATCAATGCGCCTAATAACAGTGTGGGATTGTGGTTGCTCCAAGCTAAATGTCTGGTGCTCGTTCTGGATTACTTGAAAGAGGGAAGAAAGACTTGTTTTCAAGAAAATTTTTCGTGGGGAATTTGGTAGAAGATTCATCTTTAGCCTTTTTAAAAACTTCTGGCCTTGGGGTTAAGAATGCCCACTAGTTGGCACCACTATTTAAAGTATTTTCAGTAAGGTGTATTAAAAGACAGGATGTGACAGTAGCTGACAAGATGCCTATAGAGGAGCCAACAATACTGCTAGCGTCAGTAATAACACTGATTCAGTTCCTACAGTAGGGATTTAAAAAAAATAGTGAGCATGGAGCAAATTGAGGCTTATCTCATGCTAACGTTATACCGGCATAAACTAAATGTAAATTCAAACCAATACAGTTACAGTAGTATGGCTCACCAGTTCCATGTGTATTTTAGAATAAGAGTTCTGGTAAACTGGGGTGGGGAGGGTATGGGTAGAGATGTGCCCTGCTGAACAAACCTTGTTTGTTATACACTTTTTCTCAAGCAGGGAATTGCAACCTAATTTCTTCCAGCTGGATTTGGCCTATGAATATTTGCTGTGTTAAACCCTAGGCTGCTAGCTATGCTGACACCCTGTTCTTTTTGTATTTTGCTGTGGAAGGAGTTTAAACTAAAAGCAACCCTTATTCCAAAATGCATGTCACCGTAGGCAATAATATTGGTATAACTGTTAAAACTTTCCTGTGTGAAGTCCTGAGATGTTGGTCCTGTTGCTTTTGGCTTGTAAACATACAAGTTAGCGAGAATACCAAGTATTTTCCTGTTGAGTGCAACAATGGACATAAGTAAACCTTTCCTCAGATGGGTTTTCCAGGTTTAATTCCTCTATGAAATATTTTTGTAAACTTTTAACATTTAAAATACCAGTGCCAGCTTAGCTGCTTCCTGTTTGGTGGTAACACATTTAGAGGTCTCCAGCATCTCAGCCCATTGCTCTTTGGTACTCTAGGAATATTTTGCTAGGGAGGTCAGCTAACTTACCCTGCATCTGCCCTTGTAGCCTACCCATAGCACCTTTTGCCGTATAATGATTGAGAACCACTAACATACAATAAAAGATTTTGAAATTATTACCAGACACCTGGAAACAACAGAAAATGCTTCCTCTTGTTTTTTTACATGATGTACTTTTGATGCAGTGTAACAATCGCATAAAAAACACAAAGCATATATGAAATCAGTTAACGCCAGACAAGAAAGCTGATTTTTTAACAGTTTCCTTGCCTCTGTTTTCTTGAACAGGGACCAGGATATCCCACCTACCAGAGGTAGGGACAGTCTTAGGGATAGCTCTGTCAGGCCTTCAGTCAGTGCAGATGTAGTTAGGGATCTTCTGGAAGGACTAGACATTTTTAAATCTGCAGGTCCAGATGCCCTCCGCCCAAGGGTGTTGAGGGAGCTGGCAGGGGTCATTGCGGAACCCTTGGCCCAGCTGTATGAGCATTTGTGGTCATCTGGCCAGGTGCCAGGGGATTGGAAACTGGCTAATGTGGTCCCAGTTTTCAAGAAAGGGAGGAAGGAGGACCCAAGTAATTATAGGCATGTAAGCCTCACCTCAGTGTTTGGGAAGATCTTGGAGAGAATCATCAAGGAGCACATCTGTGGGGAGTCTGCAGGGGAGATTATGCTCAGGGGCAATCAGCATGGGTTCATCAAAGGCAGGTCCTGCCAGACCAACCTGATTGCCTTTTATGACCATGTAACTAAATCCTTGGATGATGGTGTCACTGTGGACGTAGTCTTTCTAGACTTTAAGGCGGCCTTTAATACTGTCTCTCACCCCATCCTCATCAATTAAGCAACTGTGGCATTGATGCCTGCAAGTTGGATGGGTAAAAAATTGGCTGATGGGCACCCAGAGAGGAGTGGAGGACGGGTCATACTCAACCTGGCGAGATGTGAGCAGTGGGGTACCCCAGGGCTCAGTCCTTG